TTCCTGTCGAGCGCCCTCGGGACCTCCAAAAATGTGGCTGAATGTCAATTCGCACTTCGGAGGACAGTTGTGAAAAGTAGTGGTGGCGATCTACATGAACGCCGTGAAGGAAAATGATTGTTAACTACATAGGGTAGTAACTCACAGGCATGAAAAAATGGATTTGTATGCAAATGTCATGGTATATCTACAATATAAGCATCATACACCTCTTTGATAACATCTAGACTTTCTAAGATTCTTTGTGCATAGGTAATAACTTCTAAGAAATGCTTTCTTCCAAGAGGAACTCATTCCATTTAACGTAAGCAATGTCACTAGACTTTCGATGCGTTTTCCCTGTTCTACCGTTTGATGTTAGGCCTTCCAAAGGTTCTCCGCTACCCTTTCCAATTTTTTTTCATAATGAACTGTGAACTCCTTAGTGCCTGGTGATAACTTCCGAATCTGATAAGTATTCAGACAATCTATCGCCCATCTTGGATGCCACCATTTGTGCAAGTCGTCAGGAGTCTGATTAGTTACCAAATGCACCTAGTTATTATAGGTATTAGCTACCTTAGGTAGATGTTTTTTCGAATCTACTTGATCTCGTCTAATATACATGCTAGGCACTTACTGTAGTATCTTTATCGCTAACTATAATCAATGAATGTCTATAATCTTTAACCTTGTGATTAAAGAACTTACATATGGCTAAATTTGTCTTTGCCTAAGCGGACGACGGAAAAAAAACAACAAATTTTATAATCCTATAAAAAACTACCATAATGTGATTCTTGCCGTTTCTACTTTTAACCTTACTGTCAATAAAGTCTATAGATACAGAGTCACTTGGACCTAATGACATAGGTAACGATTTTAATAGACCTATGGGTGACTGTGTGGAACCTTTTTTTCCGCTGACACACTTTACAACTTTCAATGTGTAAAATACAATCTTGTTTCATCCTAACCCCGGTGTAGGACGTAAGGAGGTTAAAGTAAGTCTTGCTTCACCCAAAGGCACCCTCTGAGTCGTGATATTCCCCTTGTAAAATACGGCGGATCTCTTTATCATTGTTTGGGATACAGAGTCGGTCATCTGCATTACATTTTTCAAACAGTAACCCGTCGATCATCCGCTGGTTTGAGACTTCGTGAGGTGTAGTTTGCACCTTGCGAATGATCTTAACATAGGATTTGTGAAAACCTACCAAAACAAATTGTTAGGTTTGCACGAAATTTTTTAAAGATTCTGATAGTACATTTTTTATGCCTCCTACATGAACAAACTTTTATGTGAAGTAAATTAACCTCAAAAAAATAATAGAAAAGTTCTTTCTGAGAACCATAGAAAATGATGAGGAGAGAAGCAAGGTTTTTCACAAAAAAACACTACCTTGCAAAACACCGTTTGTTCATGAACCGAAATATCTCAATTTTTTGTTTATCTAAAAAAATCATATTTATAGTTCTATAATGTAGGTAACACGATGAACCTTTTCGGGGGCTTCCCAAACACGCACACATGCTCCTCTGTTCACGAATACATTCGCTTTGAATGTTCTCTCATACATGGATAAATATATTGTTTTTTTGTGTTTTTTTTCCATTTTTTAATTTTAAATTGTGATTGGCTAAGAATTTGAAGATGCCTTCCAAGTAAAAGTTGTTTGAATTCTCCTTTTACGTAACATAGATTTTTTAATCAAGGTTCTTCTTTTACTTGAAAATGAAGTTATATTAATTTATAGTCTAGGCTACCAGCCGGGGCCGCCCGAGTCCCGGGTGGCCAGCCCGTGCAAGGACTCCCAGCAAAAAAGAAAAAACCAAAAAAAAACTTAAAAATCCGAAAAATAACTATGTTATGCAGAAATATAAACTAAAAAACTTTTGCCTCAGGGTCACATCGAAATTCCTTACCAAGTTTAAAATAAAAATAAAAGTTTAAAAATATTATTTTTATTTTTATTTATTTTTATCTTTTTGGCCCGGCCGGGCAAGTGATCCCGGGTCACTCTGGTAGCCTAGTTTATAATTCTATAAACTCGATTTCACAGAGTCTGGTTTTTAGCAAACTTCTGAAAACGACTTATAGTTTTATACATGAGTATTCACCGAAACTGTTTTTTTTTAAACATCTTTCGAGTTCGCTTTGCAGTCCTTAAAGATTGTCTTGTTTGAACAATGTTTTTTGTTCAATCTACTAAGAACGACTTATAGTCTTATAAGATGTTCTTTGCTGGAAAGAATTTTCTTGCACATTTTGAGTATCACTAGAGTTTTTGCCTACTTTTTTACCTCCTTTATCAGGAAACAGTTAAAAATGCTCTCTTTTATGTGTCAAAAATAACAGTTTGACTTTTACTTTTTCATTCAATAAAAAATGTTAGGTTTTGTGGTTTTGTTAGGTTTTCACGAATTCAATGTTTTTTACGATAGACTTTATCCTTCTTGTATGCGTTCTTAATATTCTATTTTTCTCTAGTAGTCCAAAGAATTACTGTAGTTCAGTCAG